TAATATAGCCATATAGATATGTATTTTTTTTATCAACCTATTAACTGTTCGTTTAATAGAGCTTTCGCTGTATGTATAATTGAAACTAGCGTGCACTATGTTGTAGGCTTAGACAAGCTGAAGGCATCGTTTATCATATTTTACGAATAACATACATACACACACACACATGCGTAAGTCTACGAAACACAACAAAAGAATACTAGAAAAAAAAAAAACTTAAAAAAAAAATGTATATGAAAAAGGGCTTGGCATTCGCATTTGGGTGACAATGGAGTAGAAACTGGGGCAAATAATACACAGAAATCGTTGTTTTAGAGTTTTTAGATATTACTCCATGTACATTTAAATATTCTTATATGTACTTTATAAGTGTCTTACCTTTCTGCAGATCCATATCATCCATTTCGGAGTTTTTAATCTGTTGCAGCTTCTCGCGAAACTTTTTGGTAATTTGTTTGCGTTGATAATCAGCTTCGATTTCCTGTTTGGTGCGCGGTATGCGGAATCGAATGCAGCAACAGACCATGATCACTGCAAAGATACCCTGTACTTTAGCACAGACTTGCATGTATGCCAGAGTGGAGAGAGAAACACTCACTAATACTCATTAGTATGCCCAGGACAGCGGCTATGATGTGCCATCGTCGAAAGCCGCCAATGGTAATTTTTTCCAGCCACGCTTCCTTGGGATCTATATCAAAGATATCCGTATCATCGTCCATATTCGATTTCTATTTATTTAGTTCGCTTATTTCTGGAGTAGCAGCAATTTCACGTCTGGCTGCTTGGCCTGGCCAATTCGAACTGTTCATTTCATTTAGCCACACTCAATATTTCTTGGACTAAACTGGGTGCTAAAAGTATACAAACAAATGAGCGAGCCTTTGGGCTACGACTAATCGCGACCCACCCTGTACGGAATGTGCAGCTTGGCAGTGTAGAATAACAAACAAACAGAACTGATGGAAGCAGAAGTTGAAAGGTTCTTAAATATCCTAGAAATATTCCACTTATAACTGGAATTTTGCTGTATAACAGAATTTTCGATTTTAAAAACATTTTTCGAAAAATAATAATTGAACTGGGTACACCCTGTATATTGAATATGTAACGTTAAAATGCTATAATAACTAATAGTATATAATAATAAAATCGAATATAAATTTTCATTTTATACTATAAAAACCATTATCAGCTCATTTCAATAAATAGTTCAAGTTCATATACCCCATTAGATGCACTGCTAATTCATACTTCATAGTACTGCTAAATATTTCTTAAACAATGTTATCCATTTCGTAGGGACAATGGACGCCTTACCAGAACTGGGTGTGGTTGCTAAAACTAAAGCATACCGTTAGCCGCGTGCCACCACAGCAGGACAAAGTAATTTTGCATACTACTAGCTAACAGATAGCCAAAGGGAGACAGCGAGAGCGACTTTATAAGTAGCGACCGTAACCCCAACAGGAGACAACATGCATATGGTTAGTTACAAGAGGGCGCCACATGCTGGGCACACCCAGAAGACCAGCTAGTAGCTAGGAGCTACCAGCAGCTAGCAGGACTCGCCCCCAAACTAGTTTGTTAGATATTTAATTTGTTGACTTTTTGCCAGCTATGAAAGCGGCAATGGAGCAGAAGGGCATGAGCGGGGGAGAAGGGGCCCGACTGGGTGTCAGCCTAATGACTGTGGCATTTACTTTCTCTCCCTCTCACACATTCTGTTGCTCGTTGCGTGCTTGTCGCGGGCGTTAAACATTATGTGATTGCAATTACACATATTGAATTGATAGATGACCTTTATATATATATATATTAAATCAATTTATTAAATCAATTCTAAG